ATGCGGGACTTAATATCTTACCGCTACTTTACGACAAGTCGTGTATATATACTGTGCGCTGTGCTCGACATATATTGTGGAAACGATCCAAGCTCACCTGATGATGGGGTAGGGCCCCGAAACCGGTAGTGAGAGCAGGTTGATCCACATTATGTCGAACACAGCGTGGAATTAATTTCTATATTAGCAGTTCAAGGCAAGAAACTCTTATATAATTTTATGATATTAGTATTATTATATTATAGTATATAGATATAGTATACAGACTGGATTAAAGGGAAACTTAAATCTAGTCCCTTTTTTTTTATCAAGGGTCGATTCTAGTAAAAATTCAAAACATTTTTATATGACATACTCTATTTATGGTTGGTATGATACCTGTTATTATACCTTCGAGTTTCGATGTTAAAAAATAAAAAAAAATCATATTTAAAGTTTTTCTACAACCACTTGTTTTTTTTATTAAATTATTTTTTCAGTTGTATTGTAGTCATGTACAAGGGAGGAATATTATATTTTAATAATAATAATAATAAATAGTTTATTGTTCAACAAAATATAAATACAATACATATTTGTGCTGCAAAAAAAAAATGTTGTTGAACAAAAGGTCTTTAAGTGCAGAAGTCTCAATCAGTAGTTGAGGGTCTGTTGAAACCTACAATATAACTAAAAAACATACTAAAAAAACTACAACAATACATACTAAAAAAAAAATACATTAAAGCAAAATTGGCAAGTTTTAAAAGGAAAAAAAGGAAAGAAAGAATGGAGTAGGTATGAGTAAGTAAAGGGGAATCGTATATATAGCACATCAAAACAAAAAGAACCATTAAGTATCATGCCCTATAAGTATCACGCAACGAATGACGGAGAAGACAAGATCGCCACCTGAGGCAACATATTTAATTTTATATATATTTTTTATATATTTTTTTTTATATTTAATTTTTTTTATATTTAATTTAACGTTTTTCAAACAGGGTCCATTAGACTATATTTCTACTAGGTACATTATTTTTAAAAAAAATTAAGAGTAAAAGTAACTTAAATATTCATAAAAATAGAAGTATTTACTGTGTTGTAGATACTCAGTAACAATAAAAAAGAGGAATTTATATTGTAAACATTGAAATAACTGGAAGCTAAACTTTCTACCTGCTTATATTTAGAGCCAGTGTCTGACGACCTTTTTTTACGATGGCCCTAATATGTTTACTTCTAAAGTCGATAAGAGCCATCAGTAGAAGCCCATATCAGTAGAAAAAAGAAACGAATATCTCCCTTTTTGTCGGTCGCGCTTTTTGTTCGGCCTATTTGTTCTGCTTGTTCGTGCGCGCTCGGTTCGTTCGGGCTAAAATGCTCAAGTCTGGATGCACCTTTAGGAACAATACTGTTTTTGTCCTTTATTGATATAATGCTAGAAATCTCACGAGTTACATGTCTCACTCTACACATATTAAATTACATAGACGTAGGATGTACAATATTCTGTTATGAAACGACTGATGGAATAGCAGGCATCGCGGATTTGAAAAACATGGAAATAACGACGTTATCGTGTAGTCGGTGTTGGAGATTTTACTTACTCCATTTACCACACCAGTATTTATTAACGAAAAATCCAAGAATATTTTAAATGCATTATTTAATATTAGAACATTTAATAAGCTCATGAATAGCAACTTCGCTTTTTAGTTAACTCAGATATTTTAACATTTCTGAAACTTAATTCTTTCTGAAACAATATTTTCTAATTGGTAAAACGTAAAAAAACGTTAGATCTGACAACTGTTGAAACTGGTCGTTCATCTGGCCGCAGCTGTAAACGCAATACATCCGGCCAGCCGACGCAAGGGCCAGGTCGTTGCGACCTGGTCTTCAGTGAGTTAGAACCCTAAATCGACTGGCCGCCCGGTATCAATTCAGTGCCTGTTGAGCTTAATACGATCGACCTCAACTTCATGTAAGTTCGTTTGATCGTATAATTATATTGGCGTCCTGTCATATGTGTTATTTTAATTTTAGAATACATAATACAGGGTGGCGCCTCTCATACGTCGCGGAGGCTCCAAGGAGAACGGACAGTTTGTATTGAAACGATCTTGTGAGCATATGCAGGTTAATTCAGAGCATTTTTTAAAAATATAGAGAGTTCTACAGGGTGTCCCCCAAAAAAATTACACATCAAAGTTGTGTTTTTTCTAATGGAACACCCTATATATTAATTGATTTTCGGATTCTAGGAAAAAAATAAATGTGAGTTTTATTGAAGAAGCATATACCTAAAATCTAAGAATTTTGACATATTTAACATTTTCTAAAAAAAGAGAACAAATTTTAAATTACAATAAAAGCTACCTAAATCGGAATTTACCCGGTATAGTATAATATGTAGTCAAACTAACTATTGTACTTTAAATCAAATTAAAGCTTGATCCAAAAAGTTATACAGGGTGAGACAAAATTAATATTAAAAATTGGTCACTTTTAAAAGCATGTTACTCTTTTATTTTAAATGGAACACCGAGTATATTATTTCGATATTCAATGGAGAATTCATGTCTCTTCAAAATACTATAAAGGTTGCCTACCTCAAACAAAGATTTTCCTAGATATTTTCATTTACATGATTTGTTCTGAGTAGATCTTTATTATTTGATAAAATCTAGGTGGCTGGTGATATGTCTGACGTTACTTCAACATAGCTGTCTAATTAGTCCAACTTTAACAACTAGTTATCATTTTGTTCAGTTAAAACAAAAAAAATTCTCAGAAATTTGCCGAAAATGCAATCTTATCCTACATTAAAGAGAATTGATATGATTCTAATAGTTGGTGAATGCAGTGTGAATTCACCAATTAATAGAATACTTAAATACTCCTGATTTTATCTAGTCTGGATTTTTTATGGGGATATGGTAAAGACAGTATTTACAAACTCTATCAACTATTGTCGACAACATGAGAGAAATTATTTTTCTGTTTAGTGTATTGGCCGCTCTTATATACAGGGTGGCCCATCGAAAACGTTCCTCAAGGCATAACGGCCAGGGTATTTTTTTTTCAGAAAATTTAAAAAGACGTAAATTTTGTTTGTGAGGGGGACAACTTTTGCCCCAAAAATGATTGTAAAATTTTCAACTCTCTAAGCGGGGGTGTCATCCCCCAACTTTTTTCAAATGGGAAGGGGGGTTAAGTGGTACCGCAATGAAAAGGGCTTTTTATTCTCTATACTTTCCCGCTTCGTTTTTGAAAATCGGTCGAGTCATTGAGAAAATATGAAGGATTGAAATTTGAAAAGTTTATTTAAACATTTATCAGAGTAAATGATAAGGATAAATTCCTTCGACCAATTTGCTGTTTTTTCTTACTATTTCTAGATGTTTACGCATTTTTTCACTTGCCACAAGGTTGAACGATCAGGTGCGGCAGTTGCTAGATAGCTGTTCGGTAACTTGTGCGTTGAAGTTCTTCTCAATATCGTTAAACTTTTTAACAATTATGGTGTACTCACTTGCAGAAAAAGTGGAAATAATCGAACTTTATTTTAAAAATAATGAATGTAGCAATCGGGTTCCGCAGATATTCAATGAATGCCATCCTGAAAAACACCTTTATGGCAAAATTGTTCGCGAGTTAGTAGCAAAATTTCGAGAAACTGGTTCCATTATGAATAAAAAGAGGCAGAGGGAAAACCCTGTAGTAAATGAAGCTATGGAGGTATTCGTATTGGGCCAAGTTGCCATGGATAGTACGCTGAGTACAAGAAAATTAGCCAATGCAAAATTAGCCGGCGTGAATCGTACCAGTGTCCAAAGGATATTAAAAAAACACAAGTTCCACCCGTACAAAATTCAGTTGGTATAAGAACTCAACGAAGACGATTTTGATCGTCGCTTGCAATTTTGTGAAACTGTGAGTGAACGAGTGGAGAATGATAATAATTTCCTATTTAATGTGTGTTTTTTGGATGAGTGTACTTTTTTTTTGAACGGTGTAGTTAATCGGCATAACTGTCGGTACAGGGCTGAGGGTTTTTTCACGAGGTGCACACAAAAAACTCTCAGAAATTGAACGTGTGGGCTGGTATTTTTGGAAATTCTATTTTGGATCAGTTTAACGATATTGAGAAGAACTTCAACGCACACGTCACAGTACAGGTATCTAGCAATTGCCGCACCTGATCGTTCAACCTTGTGGCAAGTGAAAAAATGCGTAAACATCTAGAAATAATAAGAAAAAAACAGCAAATTGGTCGAAGGAATTTATCCTTATCATTTACTCTGATAAATGTTTAAATAAACTTTTCAAATTTCAATCCTTCATATTTTCTCAATGACTCGACCGATTTTCAAAAACGAAGCGGGAAAGTATAGAGAATAAAAAGCTCTTTTTATTGTTTCAGTTGGGTGATGACACCCCCGCTTAGAGAGTTGAAGATTTCATCATTTTTGGGGCAAAAGTTGTCCCCCTCACAAACCAAATTGACGTGTTTTTGGATTTTTGAAAAAAAAAATATCCTGGCCGTTATGCCTTGCGGAACGTTTTCGATGGGCCACCCTGTATGTGTAGTTCTCGGTATTTAGTTCTTCAGATGATATAAAGAAGATTAATACCTTAGATTGAGATTAGAACCAATTCTATACAAGTGACTTTGTAACCATTTTTATTTTTATGAAAACCTGAACAACTAGAAATCATACGAGTTAAATTTTAAGTAAAAAAAAAAAGACTTCAGGAGTTTGATTATCTCTAATAGGAATTACTGCATCTGTGGTTCATTGCCAATTATCCGAGATTTTGTTTGATGCTGACCGTAATATCTCGGATAACTTTTGTGTTACTTAATTAAATGCATTTCTTTCTAATCATTGTTGTCTTAAATATAAATCATCTACCATAAGCTCATAAAAAATATTGTTAAGCCCCACAGATACCCCACGCAGAGGACCATGTGATAAAATTTCACAAAGTAAGTCGAAGGGAAACAAAGAAAAGAAACATAAAAAAGTTTAATATCATTAATTTACATTACTCATAATAATACGTGTTAATACAAAATCGTTGTCTATTAATTTTTCCAGTACACTGAAATGATCTTCATCTTCTATAAAGTGATAAGCGGTTTCAATATTAATTTTTTCAAGTTTTCCATGAAAATTCTTCCCTTGATCAACGAACGGAGGTGCATCGTTCTCCACCACTATCACATGCATTTTAATATGACTTGGACTACTGAGTATCATAAATTGTGGACTTAGTTCTCTAGCTGTCGCCTCTGTCAAACGCAGTGCCTCATTGATTGTAGTGAGGGGCAATAGTGTTAGGTCGTATATACCACAGACTAGGAATACATTTTTTATCATCTTTTGTTTTTCTGTTGGTAGGGCGTTGATAAATCTATTGAATAAACATGCTAACATGTTAGCCCCGACTGAATGGCCAAGCAAATGTACACCTCTGGAACAAAAAAGAAAGCCATATGTTACTTATAGTAAGTAGGCAAAGTTGAAGGGAACGTTAACCGTAACGTTATCCTTAACTTTTCTTTTAGAGATGGGCGGTTATTGATGTAATGGTGATGAAAATAAGAAATATTGTAGTAGAGTATATAATTTGACAGTTATAATTGATGGTGAAGACTTTTTATATTATACAGGGTGTCATTGAAATGGTGTAAAAAAATCGGGGGGTGATAGTACTCCTAAAAATAATAAAAAAAAGTTCCTATAAGTATAGGGCGGAAAATGCATATTAAGGGAGTTAGGGGCACTGAAAGGGTGAATTTAAAAAACGGTTATTTTGAAATTGTAGGCTTAAAAAACGAGATAAAATTTCGAAAAGAATCTCCTCTGCCATAAATTTTGACCCTAAATCAAATGGTGATACTGAAAAATTGTTTGGAAAAGATGAAAAGGTAGTTTTTGCAAGGGTAGTGGGTTGTTTTGTGAATAACTTTTTGAGGTTATTTTTTTGCAACGTGGGTCCATTTTTTGAAAACTACATACTTTTTCCTACAAAAAAGCTACTCATGTTGCACATCGCCCAAAGCGATGGTTTTCGAGAAAATTGAAGGCATAGTGTTTGCTCTGATGGGTTGCTAACTGGTTAATCAACATAAACTTATGAAGGTTATGGCGGTTCAAAAGTAACCAAGTAGTTATTAAATAATTAATTGAAAAATGAAAATTTCATGATTTTTAAAACATCTTATTGCTTTAAAAACGAAATAAACTTTTTTGGTTTTAAAAAAATTTGGTTTACTCAGTGCCGATTAATACTGAAGAGCAACTACGGCAACGCATTATTGACTGTTCCAATCAAATTCGGACAACACCAAGAATATTCCACAGGGTACTCAGATCGTGGAGAAGAAGATCAGATGTCTACATTGAAATGAATAGTGGTCACTTTGAACATTTACTGTAAATGAATTAAGGAATTCATTATTTTAATAAGGAATTTTGGTAATTGGATTATTTCGTTTTTAAAGCAATAAGATGTTTTAGAAACCATGAAATTTTGATTTTTCAATTAATTATTTGATAACTACTTGGTTACTTTTTGAACCGCCAGAACTTTCATAAGTTTATGTTGATTAACCAGATCGCAACCCATCAGAGCGAACTCTTTGTCTTCAATTTTCTCGAAAACCATCGCTCTGGGCGATGTGCAACAAGAGTATCTTTTTTGTAGGAAACAGTATGCAGTTTTCAAAAAATGAACCCACGTTGCAAAAAGATAACCTCAAAAAAGTTATTCACAAAACAACCCCCTACCCTTGCAAAGACTATCCTTTCCGCTTTTCCAAATAATCTTTCAGTATCACCATTTGATTTAGAGTCAAGTTAGTTTAGAGTTTTTTTTACACCATTTCAATGACACCCTGTATAGGCAGGTTGTTTTCTATTACGGCCGAACGCATACGCATAAAAATACTTAATGTATATTGTTTTTAGGTAATATTACCTTTGCTTAAAATTACACTGCTATATGAATACAGGAATGGACTTTTCAGTATGGAGATTTTAGTTTTAATAACCAGTGGCGCACCTAGACAACGACTTTTAGACCTGATTAGGCCTTTTTTCTGGGATTGGCTTAGCTCGCTTAGAAGATAATATTGATTAGCACCAATTATCAGGGTTGGACTAAGCACCCTAAACCGCCTCTAGTAACGCCACTGTTTATAACTTATAAACAAGATTCAAAGTCAATATTTATTATGTTAGGATCAAATCAAAAAGGTATTCTAAGCAGAAAACAAGATCGAGAGATCGTTATCATTATTCTCAGCTTATTCAATCATTTCCAATTATGGTGTAGCCTCTGTCATATGTGTAGATACTGTCTTTGTAGTTAGGCACATTGTTGTTTATTGTTTGCTATGCTGGTCCAAGATATCCCTGCTAATTTCCTAATATCATAATCCCATCTTAGGGTTGGTCTTCCTCTAAGTCACTTAATTTGCTGTAATTTTTCTGGTAGTACACATTGGTCAAATGTTTTCTTCTTTCGATAAGGTGGCATTCTAGATTTGAATATGATTGTGTTTCTTCCGTAAGTCATGCTAACTTAATTCTTCGTTTGATTTCTGGTATTAGAGATAACGAGCTGTGTATTAGCTGTCCCAAATATATGTATTCTTCGACTATTTTCGAGTAGTTTCGAGTACTTAGCTGGTTAAGATATTCTCAATCAATAAGATATTCTCAATTAATCCTTTGTTGGTCCAGTCACCGATTTCTTCTAGTGTTGTTGTAAACAGCTTTGGGGATATCACGTATCCCTGTCGTATCCCTTTGCCAATTGGGAATTCTGCGGTTGAAATATATAGAGGGTGTTTCAAAAAATATGTGCCAACTCTAGTGGGGAGATTCCTCACGTAAAATTTTTTTTTTCATATCAACATAGATTCTGCTTTGTTTCGTGGCTATAGGGTGTTAAAATTTTGATAATCTTTTGATTTATTATAGTTTTCTTCCAAGTACTTTTAGTGTTTCGAATGAAATTTTGAGGGTAAAAGTTACTATGAATGCCACATATTTTAAAGGTAAAAAAATGTCGATAAATGCATCAGAGACGTCCATATAGGTTATCACTGGAGTACTTTTCAAAAAAAAATATTTGATAATCAAAATTGTGTAGGCCGTTTAATGCCAATTAAAAGGTATCCCTTAATATTTTTTCGAATTCGGCCTCCTTGATGAGAAAAAGCAATTTTATTAATCACAATCAATAAAATTAAAATAAAAATAAAATTAATAAATTATATATTTTACTTAATTTATTATTAAATATTATTACTATTAGTTATTATTACTGTTAGTCCAATCTACAGTAATTTCAAGTAAAAAAATAAAAGTATTTAAAATAATTAAAAAAACTAAATTTAAAAAGTTTTAACATCCTGTAACTTTAAAACTATGCATTTCTATAACCATGTTTATAGGAACTTTTAATGGAATGGGTACTTATTTAAAACTTTCGCAAGTTAATGATATTAAAATTTTTAAAAGCTGGCTATTAGACTTGGATCAAGGCAAATTAATAAAATTGCGTTTATCTCATCAAGGGGACCGAAATCGACAAAATATCAAGAGACGACTTTTAATCGGCATTAAACTGCTTACACTATTTCGCTGACAAGAGAAAAAAAAGGTCAGTGGCGTACAATGCTATTGGAAGAAAATTATAATAAATCTAAAAAATATTAAGACTTTAACACCCTGCAGCTACGAAATGTAGCAGAATCGGACCTATGTTGATAAGAAAAATAAATCTTATTTTTACGTGAGGAATCTCCCCACGAGAGATGGCACATGTTTTTTGAAACACCCTGTATAATTACTCTTGCTTTGTCAATACCTTGATTAGCTAAGGTTTCTAATATTGTCTTAGGATATATCACGTCGAAAGCCTTATCAAAGTCTATTAAGGCTATGTCTACTGGAAATTTGTCTCTTGTTCGGTTCCCTTAGCATATTTAGAGGAACTTAGTAGATTTAGAGGTAATAAACAGTTAAATAAATTTAGAAAATAACAGAAGGCAATCCCATAATCTAAAGAAGTAAAATAAATAGAAACACTATTTTTCTTCCTTACATCTTCCAACCTTGAAAATATATGCATTTATTTAGGAAACACTAAATACGAAATATATGTAAATGTATACCTGGATTTATTTGTTATTGCATAATCTAAAACTGTAGATAATGCCACTTCTACTTCTTTGTTTACTTCCTCAATAGTGACATCTGGACATTGATCATAATCTATCGGTACTACTTTTATTTTATGATTGTATAAAGTTTTTGACAGAAATCCCATGTTACGATTAGTTATTTCAGGAGCTTGCCAATATCCTCCATGAACGACGAACAATATTGGCGAGTCTGAAAATCATTTGTAAATATAAAACCTTTAGCAATATGCCTTTTAAATATGTAAATTAGGTATACTCTACAAAATATATAAACTCAAAACTTTTCTGCGGAGCTGCAAGATCGGTTAAAAAATGACCACATAACAGTGTGTGATCAACAAATCTCTAGAATAATGGAGAAATTTACCTCGACAGAGACATATGTAAAAGTGAACATTGTTGCGAACAAAGCAAGCTATAAAAATATACTCCTTCGGAAATTCCCGCCAATAAAATCTAAATAACACCCTAAAATACGAAGAGAAAGTCACGACGAAAGTATGATTCCCAGAAGAAAATGTGGCTGCAAAATGGTTACGTACATCACGTACCATCCGGGACAACTGACCATTCTGCGGGTGTAAAAAAGAGTCTAACTCAGTCTCTCGACGACAAGGGTAGTACCGCCGACACCCGCGACCGTACCCTGTTACTGTTAAAGTTTTCACGCGCCAGTGAACTAAAAAGATAAGTTTCTGCACCAAGAAACTATTAAAACTACAAAGAAAAACGCAGTCTCTCACCGACAAGGGGTAGTATCGCCAACACCCGCGATCGTACCCTGTTACGATTTTAAAAGTTTTCACGCGCCAGTGAACACAAAAGTTTCTGCACCAAGAAAGTACAAAAAATACAAAGTCCAAGTTAGTCTCTTTCACGCGCCAGTGAACAAAAATTATAAAAGTTTCTGCACCAAGAAACAAGGAAAAATACGCCAGTTATTTTACGTGTCATACGCAAGTTTACGTTTCTGCTCCAAGAAATTCTAATTTTTCCAAACCAGGAAAGTTAAATTATTCAGTAAACGCGGAAGTTTAGTGCTAGGTGATTACTTTTTCCGAAACCAGCATTGTTATTAGTATTAAACTAGATATAGTTTTTTTCCTAGACTATAAGCTTCCGAACAGTGAATAGTGAGTGCTACAAAGTGTGTTTAAACGGCCAGCGAAATTTATAGCGCAGTATAAGGGCTCGAACACACTGACGACCAGGTCGCACCGGCCAGGCCGCAGCTACCTCTAAAACCATTAAATCAAATGAGATAGCGCACACTAACGTCCTGGCCGTCCGTTGGTCGTTGCGACCAGAAGACTGCATGGAAATATTATTATTTTCTACCGCTTGTTTTCTTCCAAATTAATAATTTTTCAGAAGAAATTCCTCAAATTCAAGGCACAATATTTTATTTTCTATAAGATGTAGTGTTTTTTGCACACGTGCAGAAAATCCAAAGAAACAGTATACAGACTGGATCAAAGGTAAACTTAAATCTAATCCCTTTTTTTATCAAGGTTCGATTCTAGTAAAAACTCAAAACATTTTTATATGACATACCTACTCTATTTATGGTTGGTATGATACCTGTAATAACAGGTAAACTCAAAGGTATAATAATACCGTAAAACGAGGTAAATCGGGACACTCTGTGGACTTTACGAAGATATTCCTGCTTTACTATTTAATTTATTTTTAGTTTCTGTAGGCCAAAATATCGAACATGTTGTGTACTTTTCATTTCCAAATAGTGCAATTAAAAAAAAATAAAAAAAGTGCGTTTTAAAAAAAACGTCTTGTCCCTATTCCCCTGGAAATGTGGTGATTAGGGACAACATTGTTTTTCTGTACGTATTCTTATTTAGACGCAGCCTGGGTGAAAAGGGACAACATAATAGAAAAAAATATATCATGTTCTATCATAAAAACTATTTATTTTGATTTTTGTTTTGTATTAAGAAACATAAGATTTAGCAAAAAATATATATTTTATCAAACTCTCATAAAAACTATTAACAACAAACTGTAGAAAACAAAATTGTGCCGACATAAAACTGACCTAGGAATACCATGCAACTTTTCCGCGTGACGGTAAGATATTTTACGAACTCTTATGTCTTCAAGAGCCCTTTTAATTTTTTCCGGGTTACTTATAATGTTGATACAGTTTTTTCCCTTTTGGCGTATAAAAATGAGTCATGTCTTATTTTGCTAATGTCCCTATTCACCACAACATAACCTAAAAAGTGCCTGATTGGTTAAAAATATTTATTTTTAAATAATTGTTTAATTTTAAGCGAAAGTGACATTACATTTCGACATTTAATTTTTTTCGTCACACGTAAAGCACATGTTTAGACACAACTTGACGAGTGGTTACGCTTTCAACGACTTTTTTAGTAAAGTTAATAAATAATTAAAAAAAAAGTTTTGTCCCGATTCACCTGTATGTCCCAATTCACCTCGTTTTACGGTACCTTTGAGTTTCGATGTTAAAAAATAAAAAAATAATATTTAAAGTTTTTCTACAACAACTTGTTTTTTTTATTAAATTAGTTTTTTTTAGTTGTATTGTAGTCATGTACAAGGAGGACAACTGTATTTTAAATATTATATTTAATTTAACGTTTTTCAAACAGGGTTCATTAGACTATATTTCTACTAGGTACATTATTTTGAAAAAAAAATAAGAAAGTAACTTAAACATTCATAAAAATAGAAGTAATTACTGTTGTAGATTCTTCGTTATATTTTAAACATTGAAATAACTGGAAGCTAAACTTTCTACTTGCTTATATTTAGAGCCAGTGTCTGACGATCTTTTTTTACGATGGTCCTAATATGTTTACTTCTAAAGTCGATAAGGGCGCCATATCAGTAGAAAAAAGAAACAGAATATCTCCCTTTTTGTCGGTCGCGCGTACACAATGCTTTTTGTTTGTTGTGAATAGCAACTTCGCTTTTTAGTTAACTCGGATATTTTAACATTTCTGAAGCAATATTTTCTAATTGGTAAAACGTAAAAAATCGTTAGATTTGACAACTCTGTTGAAACTGGTCGTTCATCTGGCCGCAGCTAAAAACGCAATACATCCGGCCAGCCGACGGTCAGGTCGTTGCGACCTGGTCGTCAGTGAGTTCGAGCCCTAATATAACCCCTAGGTATTATACTGTGGTCAGCTCTTTTTTCAACCTTTTCACCGCCAATACATGCAGAAGTGAGGTAACGAATTTTGAACATTTATGACAGGGTTTAATGACAATTTAACGTGAGTGACTTTGGAACATTTACATGCAATTTTTTTTTATTTTACATGCAAAGTTTTAGTTATATTATATTTTCAAAGATCTTGTAACAGATAGTAAAAATTTTTGTCTAGCATAAAGAGTATGAATGAGAGAGTGTAAGGATTTAGTATAGTAGGAAATTGTGTTTATTCTTTTTATTGAATTAAATATTGTTTGCTATTATAGTTCTACATTAATTTTTTATTCAAATATCCAACCAGTATCCTTGACAATACAGTATATACTAAACTAGGTAGTATACGTAGTACTACCTGCTTGTCTTACAAGCTAATACTAGGATCACATATCCTAGTATGTCTGTACGGCAGGAATGACAAATCCTGCTCTGCACAAACATACTCCAAAATTTATGACCGATCTGATAAGCAAAGATACTGTAGTGGGTCTACTAACAACTAACAAAGCATTGTCAGCTTAATAGGCATCTAAAGCTGATGGGATTGACATATGCAGTCATCTGCAAATTTTGTCAATCTGAAGAAGAAACAACAAAACCGTTTATCCCTAGCTTATACTATCGGGATAAACTATTTAATCACTTTTGACACAGGAACCTTTTAGCGGAAAATAGCCTTGATAAAGCGAAAATACACGTCGAAACGTCGGCAATTTTTTAAATAATAGGTTGTTTATTTCCTGGCCCTAAACCTGCGAACCCTATTTCATTTAATATATTATTAACTTTCTGATCTTTTTTTATTTATTTTTATTCCACCTTTTGACGGTACATGTAAAACCTAACAACTTCTACTTTTAAAGTTTTTTTACCACCTCTATTAGATAAGTCCGTAGGTATTGCGCTAAATAGCTCTGGAAACGCTGTACGAGTTTCATACCATAAGTAAAATAAGGTAAATTATTCTTACCCGAAGGTAGGTCGGTTCCAATTATATTATATACTTGTTTATTTCCATTTCCATAATTTATGTCTTGATTTGCCGGCACTACTTTCAGTATTTCCTCACTATCTAAAACAAATTCACTAAGGATATAAACACAATCATATAATACTGCTATTAGTTGGTTGCTGCTTACTGCCATAAAGCCCGGTTGACACAAGTGTACATGGTTGAAATACACTCGGATGCTGCCATATAAATTTACTAATATTACAGTTGCGCGTCTCACCTGTACGCTGTTTCTATTGTATCAACTGTTTTATTCAAGTTACGTTGGAAGGCTTGATACCATCCTAGAAAGTTAACTTTCAAAAAGTTGCCAACTGAAAGTTGCCAACCTACTTACTTGGATAACATAGTTGCTAAGATAGAAGCAGCGTATAAGTGAGACGCGTACAGCATCCATATAAGGATATTTATATGGCAGCAAATATATACTTGTACAAAATACACTTGGATGTTGCTATTAGTTGGTTGCTGCTTGCTGCCATAAAGCCCGGTTGATACGGTACAAGTATACTTGGATGATACACTTGAATGCTGCCATATAAATATACTTATACACAGTTGCGCGTCTTACTGGTACGCTGTTTCTATTGTACCAACTGTTTTATTCAAGTCAAGTTGGAAAGCTGTAAACTGTAAAGTATAGTGCTGCAAGCAAGGCTCATCCATGCGATTTATAGGCCCAGAGCATCTCTGCGGCGCCGGCGTTGCAAAAGTAGTGACGAGAATGGCCACGGAACGATGGGTGACCAACAAATCTTTAGAATGATGGAGAAACTCACCAGGGCAGGGACAGGCGAAAAAGTTCATAGTAGAACATTCACCAAAATTCACGGTAGCCCTGATAAGCAAGGACAGAAAGACAGTCAAAGCTGTAGTGGGTCTACTAATAGGGCGTTGCAAGCTGAATATGCATCCAGTGCCGGATTTACCAAATTTCCGCCTTACGTTACTTAAAAAATGCCGCCCTTATATTCGCTATAACAACAAAAATGTTATTTTGAAAATTTATTTTTATAAGTAAACAACAAATGAATTCGTACAAATAAAAAAAAAATAAATAATTTACGCCGGGATTTAATGGCAGTAAACGAATCAATAATTTTGTCAAAATTTATACTTGTAGTTACATCTGATTCTATTGTTAATATTGTTAAGGCATTTAAACGATCTTGTTTCATAGTGGCCCTTAAATAGGATTTTAATCATTTAAGTGTGGAAAATGACCGTTTCGCTGAGCACACTGTAACCGCCATGGATACAAATATCCGCAAAGCAATTTCCAGATGCATGTTTGACAGTGTGCATTGAATATCGGTCTCTTTTACTATTTCTAAAAAATGTAAGCATTCTGTTGTGAAAGCATCTTCCAGGTCATCCTTATAGAATGTTTGTAAGTTTTTGGTGCTTTGTATTAATTGTTCCTGGGAAATTTCTTTGAAATCAAAAAAGAATCTAAACTTTTTAAACACGCTGTCGTACGCCTCTTGACGTTTCTGCAGTTCCATTGTAACCCTATACCCTATCCAGTATAACAAAATACGTTTCAATTTTTAGCTGCTCCCTCCCCGTTAAAATTGTATCTCCATCTCTTGTTTTGCCTGGGAAAAGTGTTCTTTTTCGATTTTTTTTGACGGTCATCATCGTATTTTTTCTCCATAATTTTTTTTGCCTTGTCTAGGTATGTTTCAAATATGACTGAATTTCTCAAAGATTTTACAAAATTTATTAGAGCCAAGAAGAGTTCATTTACGTTACCAGTATCAATATCGACGCTTTGTAGAACTTTGTCGGTTTTATAGAATCGCTCTAATATGTTTTCTCAAAATACTGACATAAAGGCAGTTTCAAATCGGTTTAGGCGATTTTTAATCCCAGTTGCCTCCGCTCGAACTGCTGGTTTTTCTGAAAGAGCTTCTTCAGTTGTTGTTAAAGCCTTTATATATTGGTTCCAGCTCTCAGTTAAACTCAACAAAGCGTCATGGAGTGCAGACCACCTTGTAACATCAGCCCGTTTTGGGACTTTAGCACTGGTTTTCAAATGGGAAAGCAGGATTTCCCAACGACGAGTGGAAGCTGAAAAAAAAGTGTATAGTTTTTGTAAGGTTTCAAAAAACCTTACGGCCTCTTTAGCACATTCGGCAGCACAGACGCACACCAAATTCAACGAATGGGCAGCACACGGAAGGTAATCAGCAAATGGATTATGTTTTAAAATCCTTGCATGGACATGTTACTGGCGTTATCGTAAGACTGGCCACGACAATACTTTAAGTCTAAATTGTGCCTCTCCAATTTAGAAATTATAGCAGTTTCCAACTCTTCGGATTTGTGTCCTACGTTGGAGTACCCACGTAAATAACGTAAAACAAATATGATATAACTTGACCACACCAAAAATATTTATTTAATTAAAGTTCGGATTAGCATTCCTTTTTAAATAATTCTGCTGGCCTTCGATGCAGTTTTTTTATTTTTGAACAACAATTGAATCTTTGTAACGAAAATTTATTTTCGTTGTGCTTGCCTTCGGACTATTTTATTTTTAAACAAGGTTTTTACCGTTTGCAATTTTACTCGCATTGACACTCGCCTTCCGGTACCGTTACTTTTCCCCCGGTTCGATGTTGTGCCGTCGGGATGCTAGAATTAGATAAGCGTTCAATTCGTTAATCAATTATTTATAATAATTATCGAATATATATATCGTTAATCAATTATTATAATCAATTAATATAATTAATTAATTAAAAATATATTTTTTTTTTCGTACTTTAATAATTCTCTATGGTACTTAGCAAAGTTGAACTTTGCTAAGTTATTGCAATTATTTGGATTTTAATATGTTTTTGTTCAACGATTATAAATTAAGTTGCTCTTTTCATGGATCGTGCCATCCATCACGAGAATCCATGAAGTACCAAATTACTCCAAATGGTACGGTCTACAAAATATTGCAGACTGTAAAACACCGTAGATTGTTTTAGGAAATTCATAATACAATAGTTGCAATTTTTGGTTGCCTACCTACTGTTTGAGATTCATTTGTTTATTTTTAACAGAGGTTAAGTGAATTTTCCTTGTTATCAGTGCTAATTGATTAAGGTGCAATTGTTTCCTTGATTTTTAAGGTATGTAAGGAGTCGTTAAGTATTATTTTTATTAGTAGTTGAAATTGTATCGAGAATTAGTTTAACAACGCATGACTATTTTTAATTCGATTTTATATGTCAAGATTTTCGGGAGAAGGGGTATTGTTACTATAAAAGTAAAAATTTTGGAATTTTGCCTTCTTCTCTTCTCATCTCTGCTTTGGTCATTTTCGTCATTATTTCAATCTGTTTGAGATTTTTTTTTATTTTTTTTAAGACTGCACGCTGAAGGTACGATTTTATTTAATTTTACTATCTGGTTCTATTTAACAATTTATTTCAGCAATTATTTCATTACTTAATATATTTTCTAAACGTAGGTTCCTATTGTTTTTTTTTATTTTGTTTTTTATATAGCTGCAGTTTTTTTCTCATAAGAGCACGTGCTTCGGCTTATCGTAAGATAGTTTTCTTCTCTAGTATCTTTCGAGTTATAAATAACTATTATTTTCTTTATTTTTTCTACCTATATATAATATACGGAGACGCCACAACGTGGAACAGGAACCCACAGACAGGTGTTCGATACCGAGCCAGGCTGTCCGAGAGAACCAAGTGCAGCAGGAGTACGATCAGGAATATCCCAGGAAAAACAGGCCTTTGGTAAGTAAAGCTTATATAATTTCATTATTAACGACTATAGTCATCTTTGAAAAAACTTTACTTGCCAGAGGGTGGCTTCTCCATACCTGGACCCTGTGGTGGTTATTTTTCTCGTTTGATTCCTCGACAGATAAGATTTTTCTAATTTTTTTTCTCGCTTTATCTGTCGATTAATTTATTATTAATAATATTTTTTTTATAATTTAAATCGTCGTCTCTTCGTATTACATTTTTTTTTTAGATTTTGTTTTTTAGCACGTGCAAAGTAATAAATAATTGGCTGATAGAACCACGTTTTTTTTAAATTTATCTTATAGAATCGTACCTGTAGTGTGGTACTGGTCTTGCTACTTTTTTGTTTTATTAAATTAATTTTAAAATTTCTTGACAGAGAGAGACAGAGAGAGTTACCAATTTAACTATATTTTTTTTATTTTTTAATTACCTATCTTTAAAATAATTTGGACAATACTCAATACTCAATTTCATAATTATTCATTTAAATTGAATTTTCAAGTTTGATAGTAGAATTTTGTCTATTACTTATTCATTTTTTTATTGGTTGTTTTTTGGAGAAGATTAACAATTTATTGGTTAGTTACCAATTTGTTTTTGATGCCTTTCGGCTTCTGTATTAAAATTGATCAATTTTAATTTTAATTTTAAGGCTAACTTTAATTTTAATTCTTATTTGTAGTAATTAGATTTAATTTAAATATTGTTAAGGTAAATAACTATACCTTTGATTTAAATTTGACTCTCATTGTACAGGGTGGGTCAAATTCGACGCATTTAAATGGAAACACCCTTTTCTATAGGAGATAGACGAAAACTAATATCGGTGTCTGGAGCTCAATTTTCATCAAAAACATGATGGTGAAAACCGCATATCGATATCTGTTACTTTTTCGGAGTTACGGGGTGTTTTTCAAAAATATGCATTTTTAACAAATCGCTGTAACTTTTTTGCTATGGAAAATTTTGTATTTTTATGAAAACATTTCCAAAGCACCTTTTTACGTAGAATTTAATGGTTTCAGTATAATTTTTTTAGAATTAATAATTTAAGAATTAACAACAGAAAATTTGATTTTTTATATGGGACACCCTGTATATTTTTAATTTATTGAAAATAATTTAAAATTACCTTTTCAAAACACACTTGATATTTTGCTCGATTCCTCTTCGAGATATAGACTGTATAAAAATTCGCTCGCTTTAAATAAGTAGGCTTTGAAGGGCATCGGCTGTAATGCAAAAAATTTCTAGCTGTGAGCATCAATTAAAACGAAAATAATATTTGCTATG